TGCCAAATAATTTTTAATTATTTTATTGTGTAGGTCCATTAATGCACCAATTATAGATCTTCAAAATTTATTTTAATTGATTTCTTTTTAAAATGGGTCATACAAATATCATTTATAACAAAAAAAAAAAATAAAACATATCGGTTGGTAAAAGAAAAAATCTGACATTGCCACAAATTAACATTTGATATTTATCTTTTGACATCTTCATTGGAGATTTTCTCTCCCTTGACGCCGAATCCACTCTCTAGAATTCTTTAGTTAAATAAGCCTACAAGAGAATTATTTTTTGTAAAACTTTTTCTTTAATTTAATTTAATTTTTAGTTTACGTGCTAATAAAGTTGAGAAAAAATGAAAAAGTTAAAATGAGAAAACAATTGATAAAATTACTAACATCTTCCTTTTCCTTATGCTAGAATATGAGCGTCCATTATCTTTATATATAAAGCCAACAATCCTTTTTAGGGTCACAAGTTTCACCAAAAAATTTTGAACAAAAATGCCCCCAAAGCAAAAAATTTCAAAAGCAGCCCAAAATAATGCATCAAATAATGTAGAGGTATTTCATCATTTTAATAGTGTTTTTTTTAATAATTAATTCTTTTTGTATAGTTGTTTTTATTTTATTTTTATTTTTATAATTAGTACCTCACAATAGGCTAGCAATAATATAATTCAATCAGTTGGTCATTAAATATTATTTTCTCTATTTTTAAACACGTTCAAAACATCTTAAGAGGCATGTAATGCCGGTTATAAAAAAAAGGTCTTTCGCACACGTATAATAATATAATTAAATTAGTTGTCAAATGATTGTTTTATTTTTTTGAACAAACGATATTATTTACACTAAGGGGAAGAGGGATGGGCTTAGCCTCACAATGGACTAGCAATAATGTGATTCAATCAATTGTTTATTTAATATTATTTTCTCTATTTTTAAACACGTTTAAAACATCTTAAGAGGCGTGTAATGCCGGTTATAATAAACAGGCCATTGTGAACTGTGAAAATAATATGAACAGGCCATTTCACAAAGATGTCCCTCAAATTCACGAGAAATTTTTTATTGTGATGGATACGGGTGGTACACCACGTGCTTGTAAAGGAAAGCCACTCTGAAAGTAAGTTTGTTTTTCCTACCTACTGAAAGTAAATCATCACATGTTTATCAAATGAAGAAAGCAAATCATCAAATGTTTATCAAATGAAGAGAGTAAATCATCACAAGTTGATGGTTAACTATTAAATCTTTAATTTTTTATATTTTAATTAAAAATATATCGATTAAAAGTACCAGATACTCTAAAGCATCTAAAAAAAGTCTTTTGTAATTTTCTTGTATTTTTTCGTTTTGAATTTTATCCCTTTTCTCACATTACATTAATCAATCACTTGTTTTTTTTTTTAATACGTTACTCTAGCAATTGTTAACTTTTCTCCACGATGTCATCGTGCGTAATATCAATATTATAAGTAACAATATTGACGACTCACCAAATACTCTACAATCAAAAGTTATTAACAAATCAATAGGCAGAGTTGACGAACTGAATATGGTAGAAAAATGATTCAGTTGTAAAAATAGGGGTAATACTTTTGATTATGATTGCTTGAGGAGCATTTTGATAAACAAGCCTTTATAGTAACATGTTTTATACACATTTAGGGTATGTCTTGCAAAACAATTTTTCGTTTTTCAAATACAAAAATAGGTGAAATACGTTTGGCATACTGTTTTGTGAAACTAAACTCTAAAAAACAAAAAACAAAACAAACAGCATTTAGCCTAAGTTTTGTAGAACATTGAATTAATGTTTCCTCTGTATTTTAAAATCAGCTTTCAAAATAATAGAAAATAAAAGATACATTATAAAACAAAGTTAGAGTTTAAATAAAAATAAAATCATGTATGCTACCAACATCGCTGCCACCACATTCTCCATCGTCTTAATATCACCACCACCACCACAAGCAACATCTTTGACACCACCACCTCCCACTACCATCGTCGCCACTACCATATGCTCCACCACCATCACCCTAGCCACCATGACCACCATCGTCCCACCATCACCACAATCGACATATCTCCACTGTCTCACCATGACCACCACCACCTGTACCTTCGCCGCCATCATCACCTCCATCACTAACATCACCACCACCATATTATCCACTATCATCACCCAGCCATCATGGCCATCACTACCTCTACTGCCTCACCATTTCGGTCGTCACTATGACCATCACCACTAACACCACATTCTTCATCCCGTCACCCTCACCATGGCCACACAACCTCACCATCTACACTAGCATCATCCCCACCTCTCAACCACCATTTTCACAGTCATCGCTAATAAGTATTGTTAACACAACCATCCCCTTACAACATTGCAGCTGCCGCCGCCACTGCCACCACCACTCCCTCTACTTCCTCAACCGTTGCCCTCTACCCTGCTATTGCGACCACCTATATGTCACTATTATTAACATCCTTATTCTCACCACTACTCCTACCAGCACCACTCTCGTCTCAACCACACCATCCTTAACACCACCCCCACAATTACTACCAAACATAAATTTATATATATAGGACATTTGTTAATTGTTAAATAACACTTATTTTTAGTTGTAAATTTGCTAAGGATGTTTGGGGTCAAATTCGTGACCTTGCAAGTTCTGTTTTGAATAGTTGGTTGAACCAATTAAATACTAGTGAAACTGAAAGCCTTTTAGCCTTAAGCAAAACTTTAGTAATATGCTGGCAGATTTGAATGAAATGAACAATTTAGTTTTCAAAGGATTAAGAGCTCATCCAGCTAAAGTACCTATGATTGCTGCTGTTGTTGGACAAGATTTATTTAAAGCCAATTACATGACAGGAAAAAGGAGATTCTGTTTGAAAGAGAGGACTATTAAGTGGAAAGCTCCAATAGAAGGCACTTTGAAGATCAACTTTGATGGCTCGGTGGCTAGAGGTTCAGCTGCTGGAGGATTTGTCATTCGATACTCTGTTGGAAGGCCAATTGTTACTCGAACTCACAATCTCGGATCAAATACTATTGCTGTTGTTGAGGCTCTTGCTCTTAGGGATGTTCTTCTTTTTGCAAAACAGAGAAATATCAAGGATGTGGTAGTTGAAGGTGACTCCAAATCGGCTATAAATGGGATTCTCGACCGTTGCAAGATCCTTTGGAGGCTCAGAACTATCTTTGAAGACATCAAATGGCTGGGGACCTCCTTTGATTCTATTCAGTGGCAACATGTTTATATAGAATCCAACTTCCTCACAAATGCTATTAAATCCATTGGTCACAATGTTGACAACATTTGTAGTTGGGATGGGTTGCTTCCTAGTGAGGCTCGCCAAGCATTTGAATTACTGTATGGGATTCGGGTGCTTCCGGGGATTCTTTTTATCTTAATAAAGTTTCTTTCATAGCAAACATTTGGTACTAGACGCGTTATCAATGTTTTCATTCTCTAAAATCATTCTCGAACTAAACTACCAAATGCATTCTCAAATTGCAAAAATGCAAGATCCTATTTGTCCTTTTTGTTTTACAAAACAATTTTTCAAAAATCATTGTGTAAAACGTTACCAAATGAACCGTTAAATTTGTCCAAAAAAAAAAAAAAAAAAAAATCCTCTGTAGCCTCTCTGTGAAGATATGAAATGTAGTAAAAACATCATTTTTACCCAATCTTCTTCAACTTTAATTTTAGTTACTCACATGTTTGATTGTTTTAGCTAGGGTACGCATATGTAGAACTTAAAGGTTAAGTTTTCTAGTTTGACATTGAGTAGTCGTTATAAATTTGCATTTCCACATGTGCTAATTTGGAACCTTTAAATGATCATTTTATACATTTTTAACAAAAATTATTATTATTATTATTATTATTTAGGAGAGGGGGAGAATTCAAAACTATTACATTAAATTTAGAGAATGGAGGTTTCGAACTCGGGACACATAGGTAAAAGCCCAACACCCTATCCACTAGAATATTGGACATCATGCATAATTTAACACACTTAATAATCAACCCTTAGTATTACGGTCTAATAATATTCATCTTCACTGATAAGTGAAAAGTCTTAGGTTCGATTCTCACCAAAAGCGAATTTGAACCACATTATTGCTAGCCCATTGTAAGATTAAGACCACCCCTCCCCTTAGTGTAGATAATATCGATTGTTCAAAAAAAAATAATAATAATCAACCCTGTAAATATATGATATCAAAGTGGAATAAAATTGAGTGGAAAAGAAAAAATTCCAACACCACTTGGGATAAGATAAGATCTTCCTCCTAAATCGACATATTGCCATGTTCAAATTTTCTCCCTCTTTATAGTGTAGATTTTTATTTTAATACAAGTGGTATTGCTACTTTAATTTACACTAAATGAAGAATTTGAACTCGAAACACCATGAGTTAAAGACAACTCTAACCATCAGGGCAGTCTATCAATATGAATTAAAGTAAGGGATTTAACTATAGTACACATATTTTGACATTCGCTTTGTAGAAATGATCTTTATAGTAATGCCAACATAATATGACATATCAATATTATATAATAACGACATAATAAACACTAATCAATTATGCAAACAATGTCAAAATATATTATGATAGCTAATGCGTAATAACATTATCGCTTGTCATCAAGAAAAATAAACGAAGGCATGACCGTTCTGATTTTTCATAGTTCGGTCCCTCAATTATAATGTGCGTGAACCATACACTTGTTTCAAACCATGGGCGTGGGTGACCGGGACCCGTACAGGGGTGCCTACCTGACTATTTCGCTTTCTCACCACACATATAATATATAAAATATATCAATTATACGATTCACATTTCTTTTTTTAATTAATACTTGATATGGTGTCATTTCACACCACAAAAATTAGGAAACACGTCCACGTAGGCACTTTAACCTTGATTTTTTCAGATAAGATTCATGCAATAAACAAGGCTTTAATTTATTGGCTGTCCTCACTTTGATTTGTTCCACTTTCAGTCTTCATCTGTTTGTCTCTCTCCTTTGGCAATCTCCTAGTCCTCAACGCGTTTAATGAATTTTCTAATTACTTTTTTGAAATTTTAGTTGCTTCCCTCGTTTTCTCCATTGAAAACCTGGCATAAAATATTTGATATTCTTTTGAGCTGATCATTCTCACATATTTTAAAACGACTACGTTAGAAGATCATGTTTAGTGCTAAAGTGCTTGCTTAATTGTCTCTCATTGCCTGTTCTGGCAATCTGTACTCTGCTGTGCAAGCGAACAAATTCTAGTTCACTCCGAGCCGGCGTCGAATATTATGAGAATTTTTTTTTTTTTTTTTTATGATTAATTAATGTTGATTAGTCCAGGTTGAAGGTGGTGTTATATTTAAGATCATTTGGTTTTATTGGATGGTACAGCTGTGGTTAGTTTAAGGTCGTTAGGATTTTGGCTATCCCTAATGGAGATGAGTTTGTTTGAATCGAAGTCTATGTCTGTATCTGTATCTGAGATGGTTCAGATGGGAAGAAGATTGTATTTGAACCCGTTTTCGAGTTCCCGGCACATACCAGCTGCTGTTAAATTCTCTCCACACTTGTGTTCTTGCACAGGTAAGTGTTTTCAGACCATAATATGGATACAGGATTAGAAGCTTCTAAAATTTTATTTCGTTCCGCAACATTACTTGAACGGAAGTGATTTCCGCACTCCATTTTCTCTCCTGCAATCTCTCTGTTTCTCTAGCCCTTCGATTGAATAAACGAAAAGATAATCAAGAGATAGAAACAAGGGGAAGAGAGCAGAAGGAGAAAATGGGAGCATGAATATCACTACCCTACTTGGAATTCATTTTCCTTTTAAAAAGAAAGTTGGAAATTTATCTTAGTGCTTGAACTACATTTTAAGTTCATCTGTAGAAAGTTTCTTTCTTTCTGTTTTTTTTTTTTTTTTTTTTTTTTTTTTTTTTTTTTTTTTTTTACTGAATGATTAATTTCTTCTGTTTTCTCCATTTTTTTCCCAGGGTTCGGTCTCAAAGCTTGTTATTCTTCTGAGCCTTCTAGTTCAAGCAATAGGTATCTGTCAGTTAACGCTATTGGATCAGTTGGTGGAGATAAACTTGCAGCTGATACTCGTTTGTTTCAAATAATTAATGGAACGAATGGCTCAAGACCGAATCTGTATTCTACAGAGATAAGGGTACTTGATGCTTTTGATGATGAGTATGGCGGAGTTATCGTTGATCCAGAACGATTACCAGAAAACCCAAATGCCTTTGCTTGTATCCTACATTCCTCACTCTCGCGTTGGAAAATGGAGGTATTTACAAACTTTAGTCATTGAAGGCCTTTGATTTCCTGATCCCTTGTTTTAAATGATCATTGATCTTCACAATTGATTCAAATTTTCATACTTGTTCATTTCCTGTGAAATAATTTGCATTTGACTGCAGGGAAAGAAGGGAATTTGGCTAAAGCTGCCGGTAGAAAAAGCTGAGCTTGTTCCGGTTGCTGTTAAGGTAACTTTTCTACACATGACTTTGAGATATGGATCTGTTCTTTCTTGAGCTGAACGTGAATGAGAAATGGGATTTGATCCTTTTTCTATCTGGAATGGATTGCACAAAAGTTAACAGAACAAGTAAAACACAGAAAGAATGTCTTAGCATCATCGAGTGCTAAAAATGCCATTTCTTCCTTTTACTTTGATCGTTACTAAGTGTTGCAGTCTGTATCTCTGAGATAAGCCGTTTGGTTGCAGGAAGGCTTCCAATACCACCATGCTGAACGAGGTTATGTGATGTTGACATACTGGATCCCGGAAGGACCTTGCATGCTTCCTGCCAATGCATCACATCAAGTAGGGGTTGGAGGATTCGTCATCAATGACAATAATGAGGTATAACATCCTTTGTTAACAGTAGAAGGATCAAGCTACTTAAATTGTTGCATCAGATATCCTTTTTCAGTTTAGGCTTTCATTATAAAACTGGCCAATTTCCTTGACTTTTATTTCAAAATCATAAAATAGTGTTTTACTTAATCGTATGCCTTCGGTAATCAGAATGCTAAGCAAGAAAACTACATACATAATCTTGTCATAAACAACCTAAATTGGCATCACTTCACCCCAATCTAATATGCGTCTAATATTAATTTGCGCCCCACAAATCCTATAGCTCATTGGCCTTTATAAATTTGCTCAGGTCCTCTGATTGAATCCGGTACTAACAAAATAATGACTTGCAGGTTCTTGTCGTACAAGAGAAATATTGTTCTCCGACATGCGAAGGCTTTTGGAAATTACCTACCGGCTTCATCCTTGAGGTAGGTTATCCAATTTTGGAGTACCTTGACCACAGTTCTTTTAACTTTCACTATGTTCAGCAGAGGCTTTAGTTCTTCGTCACCTTATTTATTTCTTCCCTTGGAATCAGTCAGAGGAGATATTCGCAGGAGCTGTGAGAGAAGTTAAGGAGGAAACCGGGGTAAGAATTTGTCAATTGATATAATGATATCTGTTCTAACATTCTATTCCATCTAGATCGTACTAATTTAGTCTTTTAGAATAGTTTAGAATATTCTTCTAAATAATGCTAGTTGCAATTTGTTTTTATCGCAGATTGATACCGAGTTCGTTGAAGTTATAGCGTTCAGGTAATAGTTATGTGTAATTGCTAATTTTCTGATCAAAGGTGAACAAAACTAGGATCCAACATTTAGTGTCGCTAATTTTTCTATCGCAGTCAGCATTGTTTAGAATGAATGCTGCATATTTCTGAGCGTAAAGTGTTCATACGTAAAGAAGTTGAAACCAGTGCTATGGGACACTTCATATAAATTCGGATTACTAATTTTCTACAACAGCAAGTATCTAATAGTTTTGTTTAACATTTAACTCCAGGCATGCTCACAATGTAGCTTTTGAAAAGTCAGATTTGTTCTTCATCTGCATGTTACGACCGCTATCAACTGAGATTATAGTTGATGATCTTGAAATTCAAGCAGCCAAGGTAAATATTTGCACTCAAAGAATACAAGCTTATGCAGACTCAACTAGGTTTTTTTTCGCATTGCTGGATTTTACGATTTTCTCTAACTTGTGGCGTCTTCAATTCCTTGTGCAGTGGATGCCCCTAGATGAATTTGTCGAGCAACCACTGATACAAGAAGATTCCATGTTCAAGAAGGTCATTTCTATATGCATTGCGCGGCTGGGGAAGCATTACTGCGGTTTATCTTCTCATCAAGTGGTCTCCAAATTTGATGGCAGGTTGTCTTCCTTGTACTATAACGTTGTTGACACTCAAGATTCCAACTGTTCAACCTGTTGAAAGAAGGCCTGCTCAATCTCAGTACTGCCCAAAAATCTCAGTAATGCAACTAGTTGGGCATCATTATTGTAACAAAGTTTCAAACAAATGCTTCTTCATTTTTTTTCTTTAGTTTTCTGATGTATATAGAAAATGTCTTCTAACTAAATAAAATGCCTAACCCCCAAATGTTACTAAAAAATATTTGTAATTGGTTTTCTTCTTAAGTTCATGTATCTGTAGCGTTTGTATGTGACAAAAACAAATGAAAAAACCCTTCATTTGGTGTTGGGAGACAATTTTTTTTATTTTTTTTAATTTTTTTTTAACAAACGATATTATCTACACTAAGAGGGTGGGTGTGATAATCTATCCCTAACTTTATGATTTTTTTAATTTTTAAATGAGTGAATTGACGAAAATGCCCTAAAGGCTAGATTGTTGACTTTCGTTGACCGCCTTTCGTGACACGTATGAGTTATTATTTTCCCGTACTCTCGAAGTTCTCAACGGGACAATCGCTTAAGCGTAATTTGAATCGAAACCGAAGTTATGATAGGGGTTTTATGAAACTACAAATCTGAAAAGTACTTTTGTAAAAATTACTATTTATTATTTTACATATCTCTCATAGTTATTATTATTATTATGTTATTATTGGTTGAGAGAAATGAAGGAAAGGAGAATGATGAACGGAGGAAAGAAGAAAAGTAGGTGCTGCTGCCCAATCAGAGGAGAAAGGAAGAGAGTGAGACCCAATCGGAAAGGAGGAGAGGATGAAAGACCAACCAATCAGAAAGCAAAGAAAGGAAAGAAACTACCCAATCAAAAGAGAGGAAATTAGGGGAAAGGAGGAAGCAAAGAAGGAGAGGAACCAACCGGGTTCCCTTCGACCCACGACTCGGTTATGACCGGTGAGTTTCTCCAGCCAAAATCATTGTTTTTTCGATGAATTGGGCCAATCCATCACTCCCAATCATCATCTCGGCCCTTCCTCTACCATTTCCACACCAAATTTGAGGAGATTGGGTTCAAAATTGAGGAAAATTACACCAGTGGGTGCGACGAGCTTCGAGGCTGCGATCCATCAAATTTGAAGGTAACTCCGCCAACCACCACCACTAATAGACTCCCTTAAACCCCAGGAACAAAGCCCAAACAACTATAGGGGCAGCGGAGCACCGGAGGTGACAGATTGAAGCTCACCCATTCTAGGGTTCTAGCGGGTTCATGGAAATTTGAGGTGTTTCTCGGCTAAATTGGACTTGGCCATAGTTATAAAACTTGCTCTAATCATTGAGATCTTCATTCTAGTAAAATTTGAGAATTTTTGAATTAGTTGAATTTTCAGGCGAGTCGGGACGGCTGGCCGCCGCGTGCGATGGGGTGTGGCGGATGGCACATAGGCTGAGACCCCACTGACCTTTCTAGGCTAATTTGGATGCTCCTATTCCATATTTGACATCCGATTAACAAAATTCCATTGTTTGGGTATAATTTCGCTAAGGTCCACCACTTAAACATTATAACAATTGACAATCCGACCGTTGGATAGGCACCAAACGTTAATACATTATAATACGTAATATTTGAGGACCATAGAAACTTACAAATTCAGAATCTGACATATGAATCTTTCCGAATTGGATTTGTAAGTTCATTAAATAAAACATTGATTGCCACTTGAATTGTGATTGGCGGAGATCCGACTGTCGGATCGTGGTAAGGTTTTATTATGTTGTTTTAGAAGCATAATGTGGATCTTTGGAAGTTACAGATCAGAAATCTGAGATGTGGATCTTCCAAATCGAGTTACGTAGGGTTGTGGACCCTGTTGATGCAAATTTTTGCCTTCTTCTTCTTGGACAAATTGCACCTACAAAACAATTAACACCTTAGGTCAAGGCCAAGAGCCTCATGAGCCCATGAAGAAGGGGGGGCTTTGGCCGAAGAACCTTCGTTGCCAAAGTTGGAATTTGAGAGAAAAGTGTTTGGAGAATTTAGAGAATTTGCAAGAAGATTGAACCTAGGTTTTTGGAGAAAATGGGGTGGTATTTTATAGGGGTGTGGCTGACCCCTTTGGGAGATGGGAACCGACAACTTTAGTGTTTTTTTGGTGTAATTTACAATTAATTAGCTAATTAATATAATTTAGGAGAAATAATTTGGGAGTTACCTTGTGAGGGAGATTTGATGAGGAGGGATGAAATAGGTTTTGAATAAATACCTATTCTAATCATTTTTCTCGATTATTTTTGGCTCCATGAATGCCCCCACACCTACTGGGCTGCTCGCAGGTAAGGGCAGCAGATGTAGAGATCTCCAACTTTGATGCAGATTCCCACTTGGACTTGGAATTAGATTCTTCTAGGACAAGGAAATAAATTGCCTCCAAAGCCTAGTTAAGCCTACCTTAAGTAGGGGATTAAATCAACTTCGGAGGGCAATTATTTATCCCTACAAGAAAAAGAGAAAACTAAAGGATATTTGTTCCCCCTCCCCTAGCACTCTTTTTTGCTTGCTTGTGCAAAGAACCGTCTTTTCCGTTGATTTCTTTGTCTTTTCTATGCCACACCGATGTATGAAAAACTTAATTCTCTATGTCTTCTTCTTGGGTGATGTTGCCACGGGGTAGTCGTTAGGGTGGTACAGCACGTCGGTTAGCAGGGGCCAAGAGTCGGCTTAGCATGGGCTAAGAAGGAGGTGTGGCAGGGGCCATTTGGTTGTGTTACTTGGTTTGATTGAAGCCAAAGATTGGCTCGACATGGGCCGAGGAAGTGGCGTGGCATAGGCCACGGTTTGGGCTGCCGCAGCTTGGGTTACTTGCCAAAAATGAGGAAACTGCTTGAGTTTGATTTCTCAGTTGTCGTAGATGAAGCAGTCAAGGATGGAGCTGCTGAAGATGAAGTGTCGAATCAGCAAACTGTTGGGTGTAAAGTGGCTATTGCCCCCTGACCATTTATTTTTTAGTTAGTCTTCAAGCATTCGATCTTTTGAGCTTTGTGGCCTTCTCGCACTGGAGAGCTTACCCAAATGGGTGTCGAGGAATTAGTATACCCTATCGTATTGGAGAGTAATTAGTTTACCCTCTCGCACTGGAGAATAATTAGTTTATACTCTCGCACTGGAGAGCAGACCCATATGTGTGTCGGGGAATTAATTTACCCTCTCGCACTGGAGAGCAATAATTTTATCCCCTTGCACTGGAGAGTAAACCTATATGGGTGTCGAGGAATTAGTTTACCCTTCCGCACTGAAGAGCAATTAGTTTATCTTCTTGCACTTGCAAAGCTTACCTAGATAGGTGTCGGGGGATTGGTTTACCATCTCGCACTAGAGAGCAATTAGTTTATCCTCTCGCATTGGAGAGCTTACCCATATGGGTATCGAGGGATTGGTTTACCCTCTCACACTGGAGAGCATGGAAGTCATTGTCGTAAGTGCAGCTGAAGAAAACTAGATTGCTAGACAATTAAAATAATACTCAACCTGCGAGGTCTTGTTTGGCAATTTCTTGAGGCTTTGAACTACTTGTTCGTGTGCCTTTTTTAGGCTTGGTTATTGATCAACTGAAAATCTAAATGGATTGTAAGCTTCTTCATTGCTAAGTATTTCGCTAGTAGGGGCTGCTAATAAAGCATTGTCTGCTCGTCGTTGGATGCTTTGAAGTTTGGAGTGTCATAGGCTTGGTCGACACGAGCCACATGGCAAGATCGGCACGGTTGGGGGTCGTGGTGTAAGATCGGAATAGTTAGGAGCCATAGTGATAGAGTGTATATTATGATTACACCCAGTCATGTTCATGTCAGAATATCTCTACAAAAAGTCATGTGTTAGCATGTGTCGATGAGCACCCGATATGATATGTTGCTTCATGTGAAATTTTGTGATTTGAATGTCATGCCCTTATTTACTAGATATTGTGCCGTAATGAATTCTTGAGATTTTGCAGGCTACAGTAAGTATTTTTATACTACAAGTAGTAAGTATATTTGGAAACTATATTTGTTTTACAACAAGGGGTTACAATGTTTTCAGAAAGGTTTTTATAAAACTTTATTTTCTGGCCCCTCACCTTGTTTTTCGTCCCTCTAGGTTTTAGTAGCTAAGCTTTCTTATCGACAAGGATTCTTGGCAAATCTTGGTGTAGAAGATTACCTTCAATGGTATAATTCTCACCCTATCTTACTGTACTGTAATTATGCTCTAACATCAAGTGTGAAATGGGTTCATTCTCGCTCACAGCACACTCTTATATTTAGGCACTTTTAGGTTTAAATTTATTCACATATTCCACCACACTACACTTTATGGCTTCATCACCTTCCAGGTGTTGGCCAGCACAGCTCGATTCGGAATCTAAGTGGATATTCGGGGTCAAGGTGTGTCAGTGGGGCAGTGGGTTAAGCCTTACAATGGGCTAGCAATAATGTGGTTCAATTTCACCTTTGGAAAGAATAGAACCTAATAACTCTCACTTACAAGTGAAAAGAAATACCACTAGACCGTAGTACTTAAGTGACTGGTGTTTTGGGACAATTAATTGAAATATTTATACAAGCACTCTATAAAGATTTGTGTTTTTTCTAAACCATGCCGGAGAGGGAAATTCAAATTTAAATGTAAAAAAGCAAGTTCATTACTATATCTACCTTGTATAACACACATATGGACCATTTTGTGTTGTGTTAGTCATCCATATAATTGGAATAAAAAAGTGGAATAGTAGCTGTCGAATTTGGTGCTGTCAATTGCACAAGCCATTCCCAATGAAAGAATACATTGCCTGCTGGCTGAAAGAAAACTGAAGGACTTTAGGGTTGCTAAGTCAAAATTATTGTCTAAATAATATATCCAGAAGTCAGAGGCAAAAAATAAACAATGTCACCCTGGTGCTCCTATGTTCCTAACTCATTGCTGAAGGTCAAGCTTTGTTGGACAGATTGCAATTTGCCAAAAAGGAAGGCTTCGTATTGAAAGTTACTTTAAAATTCTGATCGACTCATCAAAGCAACTTCACTCTACTAAGAAAATTACTATTTAGGTTATTGAATTAAAACAATTACTATCGTAGTGAACAGCAATTGTCCGAGTGCATTTCTACCACTAATTAAATTGTCTAGGCAATTGGTATTAAAATATTAGTTTTTTTTTATAAAATAATTTTATGTTTAATTTTTAACCAATCTCGTCATACCACAT